ATGTAAAAATATTTCTGTTGGAAAAGGCCTCTTTTTTTCTATTCATCGTGAGAAAAAGGTACATATCAAAATCAATTCATCTCTTTGAAAAAAAAGTGTTCAATGAATGAACTAATGAACGTCCCATACCACGAGGGGCGAAGAACATCTTTAAATACGTTTTGTATTAATACTGTGGATGCTCACTTTTGATTCTCTCTCATGTCGCCTCTGAACTGTTTGGATCAGAGTTCGATATCCTAAGATCAGGGCATTTTACGTTTGACCTCCTCAATTTGACAGGTTTTGGTGCCATTCAACCCAGTAGTTATTCATTTTGATTGAGAAATCAGAGTAAATCACCTCCCCTTCCTTGTTTTTTTTTTTGACATTAAAATCAGTATTCTGGGATTATACAGCTTCTGCATAGACTTGAGTGATAGTAAGCAGAAGTTTTCTAAAGCTCCATCTTAAAGTGTCTTAGCATCTTAGCACCACCTAAGGGGTGTCACTTGTTTGCACAAGCACCACACTGAGCACTTCCTTTGGAGCTGTGCTGTCTGGGACCACAGGTTCTGTCATGCCAGGCTTCCTGGGGCTGAGGCCTGGGGCATTTCATGCCAGGACCTGAACTGTTTAATAACAAAGGGGCTCCCTTCACATTTTTCTATATCTCATCAAACTTGTGAAACACTTTAAGCCAAAAACATATACCCCATCATGGTACTTAAGAAACACTGAAAAAAGTATAATAAAAAAGAATTGAAAAAACAACAGGGCTTCCCTGGTGGCACAGTGGTTGAGAGTCCGCCTGCCGATGCAGGGGACACAGGTTCGTGCCCCGGTCTGGGAAGATCCCACATGCCGTGGAGCGGCTGGGCCCGTGAGCCATGGCCGCTGAGCCTGCGCGTCCGGAGCCTGTGCTCCACAACGGGAGAGGCCACAACAGTGAGAGGCCTGCGTACCACACACACACACACAAACAACAACAACAAAAGTAGGCCCACCCAACTAACCAATCAATCAACCAAATAAAAAACAAAAACAGGTCTTCAGGAGTTACCAGCAAGGTGATTTTTTAATTTCGTTTCATACCAACATCATGCATATAAGGGAGGATGCAGAAATATGAGTACTACCCTCACACAAGAGCAGAACAGGCAATTGAGATGGGATTGTGAAGCCCAACAGTCAAGAAGGTGAGAGGGAGGCAACCGTTCTTTCCTCCGGCCATATGAGGACAGAAATGGAGAGGAAGAAAACTGGGGAGCCCCGAGGGGTGGCTATTTTCTCTGAATATCAACTTACTATATTTGCATGGACTGGAGCCAAGCTTTTTAATGATGGCAGCAACACAACAAAATAACTTTGTTTGTTTCTTTTGTTTTTCATCCATAATCCCCAAGGCCATTCTTTAATGAAAGGAGTTATGGCTCAACATTTTCCTGTGAGTGATCAGAGCTATGTTAACCTGGGGTTGGATTCTGGAAAGCAAGTGTGAACAGAAGCAGAAAGTATTGTTATAGGTTTTGGGGCAAGGCACTGTCCTCTGTGGATTTATAGTCAAAGATGGCAGGAAGTGTTATTGTCCCCTTGTCTTTTTTCACAACTGATGAGGCCCATAGGGAAACTGCAATTTTCCCACAGCCAAGCTTATGTCAAAGGAAAATAAAAAATGAGATATGTCCAAAGTCACATAACTCATGAAGAGTAAACAGGGATGCAACAGCTGACATTTTCTCGTTTATCAGGTGAGAGCACCAATCAGATCATGATTGACAGTTAAATCACCCATACAGTCTTTTTCCATGGTGGAGATAAGAATCGCCAATTCCGCCAGATCTCTTTTTTTTTTTTGACGTTAAAATCAGGATTCTGGGATTATACAGGTTCTGCATAGACTTGAGTGATATCAAGCAGAAGTTTTCTAAACTTCTGTGCTGTCTTGAACTGGGGCTGGCGGGAGGATTTACAGCTTACTAGGAGAATCTGCAGGTGCTTCCATTGACTGCCCAGAGAACTGCCCACTAGAGAACAAATCTGGTGTCTTTGCTCCACCCCTCACCTCAAACATTATTTCTGATTTTACTGAGGCATCTTTGAGTAATCTCCTGAAACATTTCTTTTTTTTTTTCTTAGAGCTGGTATTTTTGCTTTTCTTAGATTTAGGATGAATAAAGCCTTGGTTTTATAAAGACATTTCAATCTCTCTTTGCCACAGATAAAAATACTCATATTATGTCTTAATAAATTCCAAGACCCTTAGGGGTTAAGAGCATAGCTTTGAGATGAGATAAATCATGGTTGAAATCTCAGGGCTCCTTTTTCAGGCAATTGACCATACCTACCAGAACATCAGATTTCTCTTTTGTAAAATAGATGTTGATGTATGTAAAAGCATTTGACACAGCGTATTGTATTTTAAAACTTATTTTGTACGTTCATTTAATCTTGTAGGAGTACTGTATGATTAGAATGAAGCTGATATTTTTAAACTATGTGTTGAGAGAGGGCTAAGGTGTGAGGATTGGGGGGTGCTGAGTTGGGGGTTGTGGAACCTGTCCAATGAGAGCAGCTTGGCTTATTTAATAAATATTTATTGAGTATATACTATATTCACATTTTAGACACTGTGAAAAATAGACAATGAACAAACCCAACAAAATCCATGCACACCCAGAGCTTTCATAAATAAGTAAATTAAGCACCATATTAAAGGTCACAAGCGCTATGAGAAAAACAAAACAGAGGGTGATAGGGAGTGTGTGGGGTGCAATTTTTGAAGGAATAGTTAGGAGATGACTGCAAATAAGGTGATCTGCGAAGTTAGAATTCTGAGTTAAGAATTAAAGGAGGCGAGGGTGAGAGCATTACAAATATCTGCACATGGAGTATCCAAGTTTCCAGTTTTAAAATGAAAAGAGCAATCTGGACTTTCATGTGAAATCTTCTCATTAAAAATTAATTTAAATACTGGATGGGCCAAACAAACAAAACATGCCAATAGACTGAATTTATACATAAGATATCCAATTTGTGTTTTATGTAAAATTCAACCCTTCATCCATTTATTACCCATTTTCTATGCAAAAATGTCAGTTCTGCACCTTATGGCTAATTCAACCCCAGCAACCCACTCTCTATCTTCCCTTCACATATTCCTCTTCGCTGCATGAGATACAGCAGTTTCTCCTGCCTTTCTGCTAGAACCCTTATGGTATACGCTTAGCATTTCATGTCTGAATGATGGTCCTGTGTCTGTTGCAGCTGATATTTACATTCTCAGCACTAGGACTTGGACAATACTTTGTGGGAGATAAAAACGTGGGTGTATGTTGTGTACTGCCTACTGGGTTTTATTTTTCTGGAATTATTATAGGTATAATTTGCCTTGGTTATTTACGCAGTAAACTTTACTGATTTTTCTTATTATCACTGAATATTATCTAGTTGGAGATATTTAGCTGAAAGGGACAAGTAATATGCCTCTAGCTTGCTGGGTTGTGGTTTTCTTTCATTTGGTTGTTACTGAATGTCCTGATGGATCTAATTATCCCGATGCCATCAGTTCCTTATATTATGGGTTTCGTTTATTGTTCTAAGACCTTTATGTTATATCAGCAGATTGTATCCAAACTCTACTGGCATATTATTGTCTCTGAATCAGTTGGGTAGTTATGCCTTGAAAATTTATACCCCACTTAAAAAAGGAAAAGGAGTCCATATGGTTTTTTCTAGCTCCACTAGCTTTAATTGGATCAAAAATGGAAATGTTTATCATACTCATCTCAGAGAGTGATGGATGGCACTCATGTTAATACAGGTTATATTGCATTACAGCAATTCTCTTGACAAAATAAATTTCTCTATAAGAAGAATTATTTTCAGGCCCCAGCATACAAGTATACTTTCAAGTGATATTTAATTTATTCATTCATCAGGGAAGGAATCAAGAAAGAGTTGACATTTGAGCAGAGTCTTTGAAGGATCAGAGGACTGATAAAATGTGGGCTTGGGAATGGAAGAGAGAAAGGATATTGAGGGCTGAAGGGGCATTTTGAGAGACACATTAAATACAAAAAAAAAAATCTTACAACATTAAAAGATTTGTCAAAATCTTTTCTGTTTGAGTTCCAGCCCAAGTAAAATCTCCTTTGAGATGCCATGCACAAACCTTCCATACCCCCAACTTCCAGACAGAATTAATTAGCACCCCCCCTTTAGAGCTTCTATCTCACTATCTTGCTTATAGTACTTAGATTATCTTGTAATTGATTACATGCTTGTCTCGATACTAGCTGATGCATTACTTGAGGGTAAAAACCTGATATTCCACCTCTCAATTCAAGAATAACAGCGAAAGTATCATTTCGTTTATTGAATGCCTACTCCAAGCTAGGCATTGCTAAGCAGTTTACAGACATCAATATCCGATAATCCTTGCTATCCTTGCTATGTTGTGAAGAATACTATCACTTTTGCAGTTTTACAAATGAGATAAACGAGTACTAATGGAGTGGGGACACTTGCCCTGAGTTCCTTTACTGAGTGGCAGAGCTGGAGTGCCACGTAAGCACGTAGTATGGCTCCTAAGCATGCAATCTCACCCAAGATGCTTTGCTTCCTTTTCCCCAGCTCAGTGCCTGGTTCATGCTAAGTGCTCAAGAACTGTCTGTTGAATAAAGAAAGGAATGCATGAAGAAGAGTGTTTCAAGTGTATGATAGAGAGAAGTATGAAAAAACTTGTAAGACTTCCTTCCATGTGGTTAAAAAAAAAAAATCTGTCTGTGCATCAGTGAAGAACCTTCATAGTGTTGGCAAAGTAAACAACCTCTTGGAGTTTTCAAAATGGGATTTGCCCTGCATGCATTTAAAGTAGAAAGTCCTCGGGGCATCCCTGCAATTGTGCATCCACCCAGACTTGAAAGGCAAGTCCCCCCACCCACCACCGTCCTTCTAATGATGATAGGACCTAGACCTACTCCAGAGGCACTACATTCAGCCTTCTGAACAATTTCATCAGCATCATGCCCGATCCTTATTTCTTAAAACAGTAAGAAGGAACCCTGACAACCAGACTCTGGAACACAGCCCAGGTCCCAACAGTGCTTGCTGCAACAGGTTCCCATGATTTGCGACACGTGCTCGGGATGGATGACGGCGGGGTTTGCAAGCACTGCTGTAAAGGATGCTGAAGTGAGGAGCGCATGGGCAGAGTGAGCAGAAGAAACATGCGAACCGACAAGTTGGGGCCAGACAGAGGTGAGGAAGACACAGCTAGGAAACCACAGCAGCACCGGTAGCGGCGGCGGCGGCGGCGGCGGCAGACTAACCTGTTGGAGGCTATTTATTGTTAAGAGGGTTTGGCAGAACTTGCAGGGCTAGAGGAGGGATTTCAGAGGTGGAACCAGGAACACTGGAGGTCACAGTGACCTGCTCGGTGAAGACAGTCTGAGGCTGTTTCTGCACAGCCCAGCAACCGAGAAGTCAGCCCTGCTCAACAACTTTGAAACACTCACCCAGCCGACCTGATGTGTTTGGGTGCTCACTGCCGGTGAGTAGGTGAGTGCACGCAATACTTTCTGTAACACAATCGTAAGGAATGGAAAAATGAGTCACTCACTTCCAAATTTGTAACTTACCCATCAGAACTAACACAGTGATCGGCAAGTTTGCCTGAATAGCAATTCAGTGGTTTTTGCCTGTCTTCTCTTTATTTAAATATCTTCTTTACTCATTCTTTTTCCTCTACTATTGATAACATCCAGTATGTTGTCAAGGCATTGGCTGTGTAATAGTAAGTCATTGTATCTCAAGTTCCCCTGAATCAGAATTCCCCAGAATGCATTGTAATGGAATCATATCATGCATTCAACTTGTTCAAATGTATATAATGTAATTAAAAATGCATCAATCTTCCTACAATTCAACAACAAAAAACCTCTTGATTAAAAAATGGGCAAAAGACTTGAAGATACATATCTCCAAAGAAGATATACAAATGGCCAATTAGTCCATAAGAAAGATGGTCAGTATCACTAATCATTAGGGAAATGCAAATCAAAACCACAATGAGATACCACTTCACAGCCATTAGGATGGCTATTATAAAAACTGAACAACACAAAACCAGAAAATAACAAATGCTGACGAAGATGTGGAGAAACTGAAACTCCTGTGCAGTGCTGGTGGGACTGTAACATGATACAGCTATGGAAAACAAACTGGTGGTATCTTAACAAATTAAAAACAGGATTACTATATGATCCAGCAATTTCAGTTCTAGGTATATACCCAAAAGATTTGAAAACAGGGACTCACATAATTGTACACACAGATTTATAACAGCATAATTCACAACAGCTAAAGGATAGAAGTAAACCAAGAATCCATCAATAAATAAATGGATAAACAAAATGTGGTATACACATACAACAGAATATTATTCAGCCTTAAGAAGGAAGGAAATTCTGACATCTGCCATAACATGGTTGAATCTTAAAGACATTATGCTAAGTAAAATAAGCCAGTCTCAAAAAGACAAATATTGTGCAATTCCACTTACACGAGCCACCTAGAATAATCGAATTCACAGAGACAGAAAGTTGAATGGTGGTTACCAGCCATTAGGGAGATGGGAGTTAGTGTTCAACGAGGCCATAGTTTCAGTCTGGGAAGATGGAAAGAATTCTGGAGATGGGCTGTGGGGATGGTTGCACAAATATGTGAACACACTTAATGTCACTGACCTATACATTTAAAAAAGGTTAAAATGGTAGATTTTGTTACGTATATTTTACCACAATTATAAAAAATGCATTTGCTAATAAATACTGTACTTTACACATCACATATGTACACATATTGCATGAGATTGTTTATATAAATGATACACATTTTATTATAACTCATGGGTAACTTAAGAGGTTTTAACTGGTATTTTTTATTGTGTAATTATTGATTTTACAAGCTGAATTTCTAACCTGATCATTGTGTACGATGCAACTGCACTGAATATGCTCCTCAAATTTTAAAAAGACTGGTTATGGCAGAAGGGTGAAACAAGGCACCCTAGACATATGTTATGGACGAAAATATAGGGCACAGTATGATAGATAACTGTTCTAATCCCCAACAGTTTTCTCTGAATTCATTAGGTCACTAAGGATCCAGATCTCAAATGACATCTCCATTTCAGTTTTGACTGAGTAGCTATGGGTATCTGGGTGCCTTTTGTCTGTAAGAATCATTGGTCAAGATTCCAGCCAAGGACTTTTATTTCCTGGAAGTAAACGACAAGGTAAGTCAGCTTTATGTGAGTTCATATTGCTTTATGGATTTTTGCTGACAAAACACATCAAAATAGATTGCACATAAAAATTGGGGGTAAGCATTATAACCAGCAGTTTAAAAGGAAAATGCATGAAAGCCGTAATAAATTGGAAAATTCAGTTTTATTACTTTCAAAAATTGTGTCAATCATCTAATCAACTGTCAGTTTAGCCATCCCTTTGTAATATGTTGTTGAAAACTCTACCATTGTCTACAGCCTCATTCCTAAAGCACCCACACATTTTTCTCTTTTCAACATAAGGAATTCATTTTCTACTCATAGTACCTTTTGCTGCAATCACATTCAATTCTGTGGGTCTTGGTGACAAAGTAGCCCTGAGAGCTATTACTGGAAATAGAAATAGGAAACAGTGGGATCTCTGAGCCTGTTAACTTCCTTATTTCAGAATCTTAACAGGAGAGTGCAGATGGGTCACTGGGAAAGAAAAGCCATGTTTTGAAATGGCGAAAACTTCTTCTCAAGCATAACATCTACTTTGCAGCCACAGGAAAGGATATAATCCCTCTTTCCAGGTAAAAATGGCAGAACTCAGTCACAAAAAGGCTTATTTCTGGCCCTTTTTAGAGTCAATTAAATTCATTTCTTTTGACAATCTAGAACCAGAAGAAAACCTCCTGTGTTTAATGTACTGTGCAAAGAAACAAGGAATGGGCATCGTGTGTGTCTTTAAAGGCAATGGAAAGTATTGGCCATTTAACACAGAGAAACCTCAGGGGCACATCAGAAACCCTGCAGCCAAAAGAGGAAGGGCTTATCTTGCCAGTCTTCCCATATCCTACATAGAAACTCCTGGTGGTGAATATGATCTAACTCTAACCTGAGGCTTAGTTATGTGATTGCCATCTCTCTTATTCTATGAAAGACAACCCCGGCAGGATATTGGAATGATTGATTCTGTACTTAGAACTGAGATTTCAGTTGATAGCGTTATCAGAAAATCTGAAAACCATGCTCCCCGATCTACCTGGAAACTTGATTTTTTGCCAACAGGGGTATCCATCAAGGAGTACCTTTCACTTTAAAAGCACCAGAGTTTCAATACTGAAACTCTGAGTTTCAATTGAAAGGGAGAGAGGGAAAGGAAAACTCAGAGTTTCAACGGAAAGGGAGAGAGGGAAAGGAAAACAATCATATCTATATCCAGGTTATGCATCTCATTATTTTACATTGATTTCATAAATATTCCTAAACCTTTCTCAAGTCCTCTACATGAGATCCGTTCTATGGGAATAAATGTGAAGACTTCTCTCCCCCAGGCATCTGTCCAAGTGCCAACAACAATTTCTACCTCTCTACATCTCATCACAAAATATCTCATGTCAATTGGAGGCATTGGGACTGTCACTCTTAGAAGACAGGGAGTCTGTCTTGTTCAAGCTTTACCTCCTCAAGTTTTGCATGTGGCTTTGCCAAGGTGGGCAGTCATTCACTGCTTGCTGAACTTGAATCTTATCGCAATATGCTTTACTTATCTCAGCAGCCATCATCTTAGTGGATTTCTCTGAAAAAGCTGCTTGTTCAAAACACTGTAATAATGAGGATTCCAAGAGCTGTTGTTGTTGTTTTTTAAGTAACCTAAATCTTAAGAACTTTAATTCTTGGCCTTACATGTAACAACTTCAGTAGCTCTAAGTAATTATTTTCATTCTATAGGTGCAGATAATGTTTATTGGCTTATACAAGGGTTGGAAATGTTACAGCTAGGAACATGGCCCATATTTTGTGATGACTACTCTTATGATTTACCATACTTTTTAATATTTTCAATGTTTTATTTTCTCATATTGGGGAAGAATTAATTTGGTGATATTCTATGATTCATGATACTGGACAAGACTCTGTATGCAGCAATGTGGAGAGAAAGTTCCCATAATTCTAGGCAATGAGTCAGATTCCAACAGGTCTCTGTGGCTGTCTCTCTTGACTGCCAAAGTGTAGACAGGATGATTAACTCAGCAGTTACTGCAGGCTTGGTGGTATGTAAGAAGTGAAAAAAGCAGTGCCTCTGATTCCCATGTTCAACACAGCTTATCATCTCACTGGTGAGATCAAAAGAACAGATAGGAAACAATAAGATACTGAGAGTTTAAACCATGAGGCATCAGCTACTTCAGCAAGGATTGGGCAAGCCTCCTTGAAGAAGTGAGACTTAAATCAGGCCTCGCAAGAAGACTATACTTTGAAAATACAAAAGAAAACTCATGGGCTTCCCTGGTGGCGCAGTGGTTGAGAGTTCGTCTGCCGATGCAGGGGACATGGGTTCGTGCCCCGGTCCGGGAAGATCCCACATACCGCGGAGCGGCTGGACCCGTGAGCCATGGCCTCTGAGCCTGCGCGTCCGGAGCCTGTGCTCCGCAACGGGAGAGGCCACAACAGTGAGAGGCTCGTGTACCACACAAAAAAAAAAATCAACAAAAAAAACCTCACTACAGGATATAGAGAATAAAATGTAATATATTGTGCTATTAAAAAAACAACGATAAATAAAATATACATGTGTTTTAATTTTCTCGTGTTTGAAGAAAGAAACACAAGAATCTAAAAATGTGGCTAATCATGAGAGTGATTGATACGAAAAGGATGGAAAAGAAAAATCTAAATGTAATGTTTTTGTATTGTTCTGATGTCTGAATCATATGGACTATTTACTCAAAAGAGTAAACTAAATTTTAAGAAGAATGAGAGAATGCACCTAAGAATTTTCTTCTCTAAATGCAATGAAGTTTAAGAATTTTGGAAGAAAAATGTGTTCTGTGGGCAAAAAAGTATGGAAAAGACTGGCTTAAATTTAGGAATTCTTTACTTCCAGGTATTTCAGAGAATTCTGTAGGCTAGTTATTGTTAGTAACCAATGGGTAGTTAATACTCAACAGCATTTGCCAAATGTATCCAAATTTACTTTCTTCTTTTTCTTTCTTTCTGAAAGCACCTATTAATATCTTAAAGAGCAAAGTTTGAGAAATCCTATCCTATATATTAAAATGGCATGTTAATAAAACGCTCAACGAGGCAAAAAAAATGTGTGAGAGTGAGAAGGAACATGGCTGCCGTGAAGAACAAGGATACTGATTTGACTGAAGGGGTGAAGAGGTCAGGGAGTGATGGCCAATGACTTTGCATGTGAAGAGTAAACACATCATCCTTGGTACCCCGAATAGTGCCTGGTACACAGTCTGCCCTCAATTACTGTTTATTGAGTTCAACTGAA